CGCCCGGCCTGAAATATTCTTAATGAACACTATGCCTTAACAGTTCATCTGCAAGAGGAATAACCAATTGTATAGTAGTTTTTGTGAATTAGAAAAAAGGGGAGAGGTGAGGCTTGCTCTCTAAAGAGACCCTGTTCCTGTGGTCTTTAGAGACTTGGTTCAGTTCTGTATCGAACATAAAGAATATAGCCAAACTACATTGAAGGCATAGGTTAAAAGAAGGTATTAAATAGACGGGTAAGTCATCAGTTGGTTAAGTCTTTCTCTAGAACTTGGAAGCTAGAGAAAGGTCATTGAAAATTTTCAGAAACAAGCACGTCGTACATGAAGAGGACAGAGATGAGAGGGGGCTCCTGAAGTTTTGTGTTGTGACTGTATTTATATTTCAAAACAAGGGAAGTAAATGTCTCTGTGTTAAATTTCAAATGGAAAGTTTAACCTGTATATTGGCACACTTAGGATAAGGATGAAGCTATCCTGTCCAAGAACTTTGAAAGAAACATTCTTCATGCCGAAGGACCAAAAGATAAGCAGAAAACATGGGATAAATGTGAACGAGATTTGGTCCATAAAGAAAAACAAAGATCTGAGTTAGACAGACCTCCATATTCATTTGGCTGGGAAACTAAAACTGCGCAATCCCAATATCAGAGTGTCCTTGGTCAGTTGGCTACCCTTCCAGGCGAGGGCACTGTCCTCATACCAGCCACGGAGGAAGCTGTGAAAGAGAGGATTCAGGAAATTGGTGCAAATGAGCAACCTTGGAAATCTGTAAGTTTATTGACATAAAAGTTATTCTTTCCAATTTGATTCTTTTAAGATGCAAATTTTAATATTAGCCAATTTAGTAAACTCTGTGGCTCCGAATTATAATTTTTATCTAATTTTTATTACTACCATAAAAGAAGAGAAGACGTGGTCCATTATTATGTAAGAGGTAGTATAGCATGGTTATGAAAAGCACAGAGCCCCAGTATGAATCCCAGCCCTGGCATTTGCCAGCTGTGTGTTCTTTGGCAGGTGTGAGCCACGGCACCCAGCCTCAAATTTGTGGATTCAACCAACCAAGGATCTAAAATTTAGAAAAATTGCACCTGTACTGAACATGTGCGTACATTTTTTCCTATTTTCCCATTTTTCCCTATATAATACAGTATAACAACTATTTCCTGGTCAAGCGTGGTGGCTCACACCTATAATCTTAGTACTCTGGGAGGCCAAGGTGGGAGTATCACTTGAGGTCAGGAGTTCGTGACCAGCCTCAGCAAGAGTGAGACCCCATCTCTACTAAATTAGCCAGGCAACTAAAAATAGAAAAAAATTAGCTGGGCGTTGCTGCACATGCCTGTAGTCCCAGCTACTCGGGAGGCTGAGGCAGGAGGATCACTTGAGCCCAGGAGTTTGAAGTTGCTGTGAGCTAGGCTGACACTGTGGCACTTTAGCCTGGGCAACAGAGTTAGACTCTGTCTCAAAAAAAAAACAAACAAAAACTATTCCATAGCATTTACATTATATGCATAGATTATATATACAAAGTCCCATTTTCTTTTCTTTTCTTTTTTTTTTCCTCAAAGTCCCGTTTTATATCAGGGACTTGAGCATCCCTGAATTTTGGCATCCATGTAAGGTCCTGGAACCAATCCCCCACAGATACTGAGAAAAGACTGTGTATTGCTTAGATTCAAAGTGTTAGTGAAACCTGATACATGGTAGTCTATGTAGAATTCCAATTTTTTTAATGCTCTGCTTTCTTTTTTTTTTTTCTTTTTCTTTTTTTAAATTTTTTTTTTGAGACCAAGTCTCACTCTGTAGCCCCAGCTAGAATTGCAGTGGTGTCATCATAGCTCACTATACCCTCAAACTCCTAGACTCAAGCAATCCTCCTGCCTCAGCCTCCTGAATAGCTGGGACTACAGAGACTCACCACCATGCCCGCCGATTTTTCTATTTTTTGTAGAGATGGGGTCTCGGTCTTCCTCAGGCTGGTCTTGAACTCCTGAGCTGAAGTGATCCTCCTGCCTCGGCCTCCCAGAGTGCTAGGATTACAGGCATGAGCCACTGTGTCCACCCTATACTCTGCTTTCTTAAAATTCATTATACAACTTTATTTCTCAGTACTAACCAAACTATATTATTTTTGTGTATCAAAGTTTTCTATTTATATTGTAACCCAACTTACACGTGTCAAATCTTAAAGTCTTCCCTGTTCATCTACTTATAACTTAATGTGACTATAACGTTGATGTAAATAGAACTTGCACATAATTTTGAAACTACATAGAAGACATGGACCATCAGGGAATTTTTATATATTTTTCTTACAGAAAACCAAAGACCTTCAACAGAAAATTCAGATGTTCACTAAGCAACTGGAGCAGCTGCATTACCTTTGTAAAGATACTGCTCAAGAATCATCCCAAACCGAAGAAAAGTATTGGGAACAAAACAGACCCTTGAAACATCTGGAGGGAAAAATTGCAATCAATGACTTTTTTCAAGGGAGATTATACTTGGACAAGAAGAAAGTAAAAATTTCCTGAAGTATAGGCATTTCTTTGATAATGAAAATGATTGTTTCATTTGTTGATAACTTTAACATTATCTAATATTTAAAGCTGTTAATACTATTTATACTTTACTTAATATTGGAAAAGTGGGGCAATTTTGCTACAAATCCTTAAAGCTTCTGATTTTACCAAGAAGCCTTTCCTTTCTCCATATCTCCATGCTCTAAATGCACAATGCTCTATTGTGCATTTATTTGAATTCGATACTTATTGTGAGGGTATCCATTAATATCTATCTTAATGTACTTTTATTATTTTTAAATTTGCTTTTTTTAGAGAGTTCTTAGGTTTTCTGGATTTAATTATATATTGTCATATTGTTTTCTAGGAGAGAATGTATTTCTTTTAGATTTTCAATTTATTGCTAACTGAATTACAAAATATTCTTTTAGAATTATTTTCATCTTTTCTATATCTATGTAGTCTGTATATTTCTCTTTCCTAATATTGTATATTTTCAGTTTTCCTCTTTCTTCTTTAACCATGCTTGCCTGGGACACCTATTTTATCTTTCTAAAGAACCGGTGGTTATTTTTCAGTACGCACTTCACTAGTTTATTTTGATTTACATATAATGAATACATGTAGTATCTTTATTAAATATTCTCTCCTACTTGTTTTGGGGTTCAGGGTCAATAATCTTGTCTGTTCTTAGTTCTTAAGTGTGCTCTTGGCCCAAGAATGACCAGACATACCAAAAGCAAGGCAAGTGTTAAGCAAAGTTTATTGAGGGAGGACAAGGTAGGTTTACAGATGAGGAGCAAGACACAGGTTTACAGAGTATGAGCAAGATACGTTTGACACAGAACAGCAAATGGACTCATCTGTCTTAACAAAAGTGCAACTATTTTAGCTATTGCTTCTGGTAGTTACTTCCATGTCCTTGAATAATTTTATATTGCTATATCTTGAATTGTCCATTTTAGACATTCTCTGTTGACTTCCTATTATATGATAGATGAAGTTTTATCTCTCTTATACCACTTTCCCACCTCCCCCTTCTGTCTTCCCAATATAGTTATATCAATATTTTTACCGAATCCACAATCTGCATTTGCTTCACTATGATGCTAAATGTATACAAAAACTTGAAGTACTATATTCTTGTTGTGTTTTCTTTTTTGAATTACATTTTATTTTTTCTAGAGTTAATACCTTCCTTGTGTTTTCATATGTTTGATTTTCAACATTAATTTATTGTTTTTTCCCCCTGAATCTATATCAAATGATCTTTTAGGCCGGCGTGGCGGCTTGTAATCCTAGCACTCTGGGAGGCCAAGGCAGGAGGATCGTTTGAGCTCAGGAGTTGGAGACCAGCCTAAGCAAGAGGGTGACCCCGTCTCTATTAAAAATATTTAGCTCTGCATCTTGGCGTGTGTGCCTGTAGTCCCAGCAACTCAGGAGGCTGGGTCAGGAGGATGGCTTGAGCCCAGGAATTTGAGGTTGTAGTGAGCTACAATGATGCCACTGCACTCTACCCAGGCAAAAGAGTAAGACTCCGTCTCAAAAATAAATAAATAAAAGATCTTTTAATCCATAAAAATTCCCATTTTTCTCTCCCAAAGTCCTTCATTCTCTTGTTTTGGTCTGGATTTGGCTCTGTGGGCCTAGGCGTAGCTATAATCCTATGACTTTTCTTCTCCGATCTCCTACATAGGTTTCACCATTTCCTAAATCACATGTCTTCCTCTTTTTTGGTTTACTTTCTTATTTTGCTGGAGCACATTCTCCAATAGCTTGCTGAGAAATAGTGCCTTGGAGAGATACATTTTCTTTGAGTCTTTGTATGAATGACGACTTCTTTTTTTGAATCCTCATATTCAATTGGTAGTTGGGTTTAGACTTTATTTTCACACAGAGACTTGAAGACATTACTCCACTATCTTCTAGTCTCCAAGGTTGTTATTGAGAAAAATAATGCCATTCTGATTCTTATTCCTTAATATGTTACTTGTTTTATTTCTTTTAATGAATTAAAACATTTGTCGTAAGATTTTTTGTTGTAACATCTTAAATAACTAATTTTTTCTCATATTAAAAATTCGTGTTGGCCGGGCGCTGTGGCTGACGCCTGTAATCCTAGCACTCTGGGAGGCCGAGGCGGGTGGATCGCTCAAGGTC